GGCGAGATGGTCCAAGTGGTTAGAGCGCGAATTTACTGACCGGAAGGTCCATGGTTCGAACCTCACCTCTGACTCTCGACTTACCCTGTCTAGGCTTGGGTAACCTGGCAGTATCCCAGCCCTCGTGCAACCTTCGGGTGGCATGGCAGCTAGGCACTGAAAGGGTGCTACAACTGGACGATTTTTCAAAGCGGTAAACCAATCGAAAATTACAAAATCTTACAGTACCATATGGGAAGTTGCCAATCGAGAAGCCAGTCAATAAGTGGTAGTTTCTCTGGTTGAACGATGAGCGGCGCCATACTCTGCCTACGTGAAAGGTAATCACACTGCTGCTCAGTCTTTCGTGGATAAACAGTTGTTCAATCGCTGACCGAAAGTTGATGGGTTTAAAACTCTGAGATTCATGCGACACATACTGCTGATGATTCCCAATCAGGATGAAACAGATGTACGGTGCTTACAGGCTTTTCAGCATGGATTAGCTTCAGTTACAGGACGACATGTCGATTGAAAATTACTACTGTACTAATTTTTCGAAAGCATCTCATTGGAAGCGACTTTGGGCTGTATTTATCGGAGTTTCGAACCATGCGTAGTCATTGTTTTTTGGATTCCATCTAGGTAGCTTAAACACCAAACTGAGGAGAATCTGGTCATCAGAGTCCTTTACTCCACTTCCAAATTGACCAACTCTCCAGCCCTCCCATTTTTGATGAAGAAATGTACAAAAAGGCGCGTCGCAGTAGTTACTTGGGGATCACCTTGTGGTGTTTAGGTAAGACAGTTATCTGCCTCAATTCAGTTGAGTTTCAGTGGCGTCTTGTGGAGATAATCACACTGTTCTCACATTATCCGCGATCTTTCATAGGCGATTTTCATCGAAGGCGGAAACTCGGTATGTATCTCCAGTCCATACGGACTAGCCCTCACAAGATACGCAGATGTGTCATAAAATTACCCTTTAGGAAGAATACCGATGTCCCGAAGCTACCATAAGCTACCAAGAGCCACTTTGGACCCTAAGATCTGCGCAGCGATATCTCCGACTGCGGATATTCGACTTACTGGATGGGTGAAGAGATGCTCCTGCAATGCACAGTAAGACGGAAGATATTAACTAATCCCGAAAGAGTAATTTGGTCGTGAGAACGGCATGCCACAATAGATTCTTCCGTTGGTAAATGTTTGGATGTGGATCGCAATATGTAAGAGCATCAGTATAACTGCGATTGTCAATTCGGATAAAAATTCCTTCAGTGGCTTTGGACCGATTGACTACGACATAAAGTTTTAGCAGAAAGGATATGAGATAACCTTAACTTATTCCCACTAGTTGTAGGGAATGACCGAGAGTTAGTTAGACCCAAGAATGCCTCAAAATCACCCTAAGTGTGGTTGATTTTGGGCGGTATTCTTCAAACTGTCAAGTATTTCTGTATAAAGTACCTAGTGGTAGGATACAATATGCCCCTTGTGTTCAGTTTAGTTCATTATCAGTTATAGCTATCACAGATTAGACCGCCAGAAAATGGGACAGCGTGGGAGATACAGCCACGCATGAGAGACGAAGGCATGTCCAAGTAGTTCGGGAAAAATCGTTCAACTGTAGCACCCTTTCGGCGCCTAACTGCCATGAGAACAGAAGGAGGCATGACGGCGGGGATACCGCCAGGTTTCCCGACCCTAGACAGGGGAAGTCGAGAGGCAGATGTCGGGTTCGAACCGCGGACCTTCCGGTCATGGGTGGTCACACATTAAAGGCTATAGATTTGACGAACGCTTCAACGACTGCATGATTGAGCCATGTCTACCCATGTCAATACTTGTTGGTGAGTTGAGTCCCGAATTCCCAACGAGGGAGCAGGCGGTTGTCAACCCGACTAAGTTCACTGGTGTCTTCACACTTCGTTACCAGGTCATACATTGTCCATCTCTCGGTCTCTTCCACACAACACAGGGCTAAGAAAAAGAGCTCGGTGAGACCGAAGGTCTCCTGGGATGCGAAGCACATGCCCTAACCAGAGCACCCTATGAAGCGTGAGTAATTCAACTATCGCGGGAAAGTTCCTTCTTCCTAAGACCATCTGGCGTACCTCAACATTGCTAATCAGATGTTCCCGCCAGACCTGACCAATGCTTTGGAGACATCCATGGTCAAACACTGACGTCTTTCGTATGTCATTTGCGCGTAGAGGCCACATCCCTGATCTATGAAGACGTATGGATAGCACCGACGCACTGAAAACTCTGTCCTTGACAGACAAACTGAAGTCACGTCAGCGCCACAGGTGTCGCAGCTTGACAAAAGCTGCGCCGGCCTTCCCGATTCGGGAAGTGATTTCAGTTCCACCCAGTCCACCGGAGCTTATACAACTGCCCGGGTAAACAAATTCACCTACCATGTCGATTGACTCGCCTGCGAGCACTAGGTTTGGGTTTGATCCAACTAAATTTTGTAGCAACACTTTACACTTTGCAGCTGTAAAGCGCATGCCATACCGTGTGGCAGAGTTATTTAGGTTATTTGAAATCACCTGCATTTGGGGAGGATCTGGACCAAGGAGAGCAACATCGCGCGCATAATAAAAAAAAATCGTTCAGCTGTAGCGCCCTTTCGGTGCCTAGCTGCCATGCCACCCGAAGGAAGCACGAGGGCTGGGATACTGTCAGGTTGCCCAAGCCTAGACAGGGGAAGTCGAGAGTCAGAGGTGAGGTTCGAACCATGGACCTTCCGGTCAGTAAATTCGCGCTCTAACCACTTGAGCCATCTCGCCTAATCAAAGTGAGCGATAGCAGTCTGGGCGCATTCCATTCGGAGTGACAAATGGGATTATGTGTTTCCAAGGAACGTTAAACAATATGACCAGAGCCGAACGGGTGGACAAATCCACCTACATTGGTAACATTACCGTATCCCGACATAAAGGTGCCACCTTGACGTGGTCATCATCATCATCATTGTCAGCTGTGCCGAACGGGGGACAAATCCACCTACATTGGTAACATTACCGTATCCCGACATAAAGGTGCCACCTTGACGTGGTCATCATCATCATCATTGGCAGCTGTAATAACCGCGTACTCGTCGTACAATGGTTGTAGCTGCCGCAGTTTCGTTCACCGATG